CACATTATGACAAGAGCTTGAGACAGGCTTGTCTCAGATTGTTCAGACTCTGAAGAAATTATGCGATGATTTGACAGCATAACTGTGCAAGAGTTTTCCAGAGGGTGGTGTACAACAATAGGTTTAGTGTTTGAGAAGGGAGGCTGATTGTTTAAACGATGGTTTGGAATACTGAAAAGATTAAAGTTTAATATCCTTGTTTAGCAAACAAGACATCTGATTATTAGGTCACACATAATAATCTTGACATATAAACTAACTATGAGTAAAAAGATGAATGGATTTCATATCCTAGAGAGGGTTAGTTATGTTGCGAATACTTCACAAGGTATTTGCTAATGTATTTTGAAGAACAAATAACAAGGACACAAATCCAATTTAGTTTTGTTTTTGGATTAAATTGTCCATTACCAAAACTGTTCACCTTATGTCTAGATTTAGACTTTGATGGTAAGGGAGTATTTAGGCTTATTTTTATACATCTGACATTTTCAAATATGTTGGCTATTCACTAGATAGACTTTGGTTAGGAACTTTTCTGAAGATTGAATATTTGTTCCATTTCTAAATATTCCTATTTAAAAAGTAATTTTAGAGTAAAGAAGGCTGATGCTGAAATTGGAAATAATGTGGGGCCTTCAATCACCCATTGTAATGGTGCATATTATTGACGACCAATAGGGAGGAGGGATAACTCGAACTTAAAATCTTACTTGCAGCTTCACAGGAAGCGCACGGCACCAGATTATGAGTTTGGAAGACTAGCGTCACCACCTCCTAATGGACATTCATTTAGTTAGTAATTAACTGACATTTAGAGATGTTAAAAAGTAAAAACATACCTACCATAAGTGATAATTCCTAAATTCAGCTACAAACCATTGATGAAATGACTTCTGTTTTTAAATCCTTGATAAAGGAAGGAGTGATTGTTACATATTCGAACACCCAAGGTTCGACGCACTGTTAAAGAGGTTAACATTGTTCTTTAAGTGGACCAGATTTGAAGATAAATGAATATGAGTTATGAAATACATAGCAGAGCTTTACAGATCCTAGTAATGGTTTGACTCAAGATAATAATTATGTGCACAAGTTTCTGAAATAGATCTATTAGACATTTTAATATGGATTAGGTGTTGATAAACTGCAGTAGTAGTACAATAAGGAAGTGAATTTTTTTGGCTAACACTTTTCAGGGAATGTGGGAAACAGCTGTCCCAATGAAAAGTTAGAGATATCTTGAACATTATAGTTGTAATTGTGAATTAATAAATGATGGCGCTCCATATATACATATTTTTGTAGACAAAGGATACTGGCCTATGCTGAAACATCAAAGTCTCTGCAGAGCACGACACATGGCCAAAAAGACTGAGACCAACTGACCTTTGACCCTGACTGACAGTGTAACTTGACAAGGCACTGTGAATGACTGACTCTGGGGTGAACCTGACCAAACTTGACTTTACAACCTGACAGTGTGAGTGTGAGTGTATGTCTGCATGTGATCAGTGCAACTGCATGATTTAAAACAATGACTAATCAAGCATGTTTTTGGACTAATACATTTTTCTGGGGCTCAATAAAATTCCACAGAATTGGAAAACCGCACTTGTGCACTCCCACAGGAAGTGGCAGTTTGCAGAATGTGAAACTCAAACTAAAACATGAAGATTCTGTTTCTTTTAGGACTGAAGGATGGAGAGAAACACTTCATTTCACTGAAGTGTTTACTGTGGAAATGATGGATGTACATTTGGGAAAAATGTTTGGTATTTTCTTATAATCCATTATTACCTGAAGGTTTTCTTCCCATACAGGATTTTGGTTACACATGAGTCATGTGTAAAAAGGGGGAGTGTACTGCTGCCCCAACTCGATTGTTCAATCTGACCATTGATTGACAGTTTTAGAATTGACCTGCTCCTTATCTGGGGATAAGATACTGTTTGATGAATGTTGACATGTCTCTAATATTGATTGAGTTATAACAGGTAACACAGATGCAGAATCAGTGGCCAAGGGGCTACGGTGAGAGATGTAATTCCAGAATGGAATACTGAAGAAGTTGACCTGTGAGTAATGTTTCAACAGGTATAAAAGTAACTGAGGTTTGAAATGTAGAAAGAACATATTACAGTTAAAGCTAAAACATAGTAATGTAATGAGACAGAATTTAATTTAGACAACATCATGTAACTAGCCTGGTAAATAAGTAAAAGCCATAGACTTTATTGTTTAGGTCATTATGGGGATATACATTTAATCTAAGTTCATAATAGAAAGACATTTGATGACAGTTTGTTGGAATTCTGTATTCATTTTTTCAGCATGATAATATCTAAGCACTGACAGGTAAAAGCAGTATCACCAGGAAATCATTCACTTTGTTAGTATTGTGATTTTGGTTGTTTTTTAATCCATAACATTAGTGTGTTTCTTTACCAGAAACATTAACAGTTCATATTATATTTAGATTTTAAAGGGGATCTCAAGGATTTCATTTAAAAATAAACACAGATGCTTGTCAGAAATTCAGAGCTATTGAAATATGTTATTTAGTTTACCTAAAGATGTTGGAGTTCTTATTTAGTTGGCACAGTCCAAGTATTAAGATTCTGAAGCTGCACTGGCAGATAGGAGGTCTACAATTAATTTAGAAAACCTGTTCACAGACGTCTGTTGTTTTAAGACACCCCACCAACAGGCTCCAAGCGGCCTACGCAGTGGTGTGTCAAACAGCTGAGGGCCCCGGAGCCCTGAGCGTAGGCTTGAGGGATTTGTATCAGATTTCTCCACACAGGTTGGTGATGCAAAAGGGGGACGCAGGAGGCTGACACAGCGGAGTTCGTCAGGCTGAACGTCATCAGGACAAAGTGGCTCAACCCCAGGCTCTCCGGCCCCGACCGAGTGACCCAGCGGACCTCTCATGCCGTCTGCCTAGGAGAAAAGGGGGACAGCTCGTACCACGGGAGCCAGTGTGCGGCGGGGAAATCACCTGCTAGGACCAGGGGACGACATCAGGACGGATCTGGCTCTCGTCAAGGAGGTCGACTTGGAAGCTGTCATCGGCGGACCGGAGAAGGAGGATCGGGAGGACATCTCTCCAGCAGTCGACCCGGGAGGCATCATCAGCGGGCCGGAGAAGGAGGATCGGGAAGACATCTCTCCAACATCGACCCGGAAGCCGCCATCAGCGGGCCGGAGGAGGAGGAAGACATCTCTCTAGCAGGCACCCCAGAAGCTGCCGTCAGCGGATCGGGGGGACAAAGACACGGCAAGCCAGGACGGCACAGGGGACTTGTCAAGGCAGCAGAGGAGTCTACTTCTCTCTGATCCCGTGAGGGGAAAGCCGCATCTCCCCCTCCCTTTCAGCTGCCCCTTGTTGGCGTATTCCTCTGAGGGGGGGGGGGGCTGATGATTCACCACACAAGGAGACTGCTTTCTAGAACTCAGCTGCCCTCTCATGGTTGCTTCACTGCCATGGAAAGTGGTGTTCTGTCTCCATGAAGGTTTCAAGTACTCTGTATCCCAGCTTCGGATGAATTTATACAATGTTTGGGGGATGGACACAGTGGAAAAGAATGACAGTGGGTATGTTTCAAAATGCCTTGTTTAAGTTTATCTCTGGAGAAAGAGATAAAAAGGGGGAATTGTGGAAATTGATGTAAAGTATTATGGCAAAAAGTTCAATACAGCGTAATTCTGGTATATTCATTTTTATGTCACCTGATATATGGGATGTTAAGTGTTAGTGAGAGAAATGTATGTGCGTTCATTTCAAGACTCCTAAAAGAGCAGGAGACGATTGGGTCACACACAATTAGAGAGACAATGGTCCTTCTGATTCTGGGTGAGCTGACTTGGGAGTGGAAGGGAAGTTCAGAGATGGCCTGGGGGTATGGGAACAGTTAAGCTTTGTTGGTTAGCTGGTCCTGAGGAGGTCATGAGATGATAACTGTTAAACCCCAACAAATATGGCTTTCATAAAGAAAAACATATGACATTGTGTGATAAGCTACATGATAAGATGAGTGTGCGTTCTGTTAAAGAGTCCTCTGTCTGTGAAAATGATATGACTCCAAAGCATGACTGTGGGACTGCCTAAGGGTACACACACACACACACACACACACACACACACACACATACACACACACACACACACCGTAAGGAGATGGAATCAACAAACTGCTGACTCTTTGCCTAGGGTTTGCCCAGAAGTAAGGCCGGCCAGACTCTTCCCCGCTTAATTGTATAAATACTGTAATATTCTTATGCTCTGTGCTCTCTTCCTGACTGGCTGTCGTGGTACGTATATCACACGGTGGTAGGAATTGAGCCTCTGTATGGTGTATTGTGTTGTGTTTTACCGTTTACCATTAAAGCAGATTATTGTTTAACCCTTATCCCGGTTGTTTTGAGTTTTCCTTCTTTTAAAGCAGACTCATATAGGATCGGCGCGGAGAAGAGATAACTACTCCAACACTTCCAAAAAGTGTGCATGTATGACAGTGAGGTATATCTTGTTTACAGAAAACTAATTGAAGACATCTTTTCAAACAATACATTTCCTGTGGGCAAGTGGAGGATCCAGAAATACTTACCAGAATTTCTTATTAACAATGATAACTAACACAGACACAATGAACTCTGGGAATGTAATTATACTTTAGAGTATTTAAACATAATTCATAAGATTTGTTTTCTTTGAGCCTGGTATGGCTAATTACTCGAAGTACTGCAGGACTTGACTTCAGTCTCACTTTCATTTAAACTTGGCATAAACCACCTAAAGAGCAGAACAATAATCCAGCAAGTACTTAGGCAGCAGAAACGGTATCAATCGTAAATCTGTTGTATCGTTTAACGAATATATGTACAATCTGCACAATTAATGTGATGAATAGTGAGTGAATACCAGCAAATGAAACGCATCATTCAGTGAAATTTGATGGGTGGGTGTTACACAGTAAAGCAAAATGCAGACTGAACTGTGAAGAAGTTTGTTTCTTGGTTTATAACAGACTATGCTTATGGTCCCCAGTGAATTCTCATGTGATAATGATATGCAGATGAATAAATGTAACAGCATAAAAATATAGAACATATAGCCAAAAGAGCCAGAAAATAAAAAGGCAAACCATTTCAAACATATGTATGTATTGTCATACTGATATTTTGTACAAACTGTAAAGTCCACTGAGACAAATGTAACATTTGTGATATTGGGCTATATAAATAAACATTGATTGATTGATGATTGATGTGTGTAAATATTTAAAAACTATCAAATAATAAAAAGGCAACATTTATACTTACACTAATTCTGTATAAAGGCTTTCTGCATTGTCTGATATTATCAGCTGCCACTACCTGTGGAGCTGGAGATTTAAAACAATGTTTTTCAGGTGGTGAAATTCCCTAAAAATGTGTGGCAACAGTGCATGTTAGTGGGCAGCGATAATCAAGATTGGCATCTGTTGATCCTCTGTCTATGGCATACTGAAACATGACAATTATGACGTAATCAGACACATTATTAGATCGCTTTAACTGAAAATACCTTATTTAAAACTCAGTCTTTTCAATATTGTCATTTACGATGTAGGCCTACAGTAGAGACATTTTACAGTAAAACAAGACTTGGTGCTTATTGTGCAGGAAACTGCTGGAAATGTTCAGAATGTATTGCTCATCAGCATTTTTTTAAAATGCTTAGCTCGTGAAAACAAAATATCACTTTTAAAACATTGTCAAATATGTTCAGTTCTCACATTTGCATCTCCATCTCAGCTCCACCACCTGCTTTGTATTCATTGGCAGCGGATGTGAGATTGTTGTCTGGGTTCAAGGGGCATTGCTCGGGTTGCTTTGCTGTGCTGTGCGTCTTGATTTCAGGGTGGCAAAGCTGCCTTAGGTTCTGTAGAGACAATCAAAAGTCCACATAAGACAACATGTTAACGTGTGCTGTAGGTTTCCCCGATACGAGTCAGAAGAAACATGTGCAGGAAAGATGGGAATCATAACACAAACAGCCTTACATGCTTCTTCCTATGTAATAAAGTATTGCCTCATTCATCTGTTAAAAATGATAACAGTTTCACAAATGGTGTGAAATATTTCTTGAACTGGATGCCCTAAGTTTTTCACAGGCTTGCTCCTTTTGCCCCTTAAAGCTCCCCTATTATGCTATATTTGAACAGTATATTATAGGACCATATCTATACAAAACATGTCTCTGAATTGTTTGCTCAAAATACCAAACAGATCACCCATTGTAGCCATGCCTCATACCCCTCTATTTCAGCCCTGTTATAGAAGTGCTGATTCTGGGTCTGGCCCTGTAAATGTAATCGAGCTGCAGTGGCCACGCCCCTTTGGAGCGTCCGCATGTAAGCGGTGAGCTCAGTGAAGAGAAGGCTTTCTACCAGTAATTATTATTATATATTTTTTTGACACAACCTCACTCATCATCATACATCGTTTTAAATGAAACTCACTCTCCGCCGCAATATCTAACTCACCTTTTCTATAGGGTCAGATTAATATATTTTCTAAACCGTCTCTGTACTGTAGGTCTCACTATGTATGCGCTCAACTTTATTACTACGCGGTGGCGGTCTATAGCCGAATCACAACCCCACCTTCACTTATGTAACATTGACATTGTGTCAAGGGAGCTAAAAAATGGATGGTTAAAAGTGACAAATTAGGCCAGCAACCACAAGGAACAGTGACGGCCTGAGGATGTCGTTGAGCTAGCAAAGAAGCTCTTTGCAAAGAAAAAGGCAAGGAAGAAACACTTTTAAAAAGGTAAGATCCATTGATTTGAGGGATTGTCTTACAAACACACATTCTCTCTCTATTACACACACACACACACACTTACGTACACACAAAATAATATCTTCTATCACAGGGGTTCCCAACCCCCGGTCCGCGGACCGGTACCGGGCCGTGGAGGTGTTAATGCCGGGCCGCGAAATAGCTGTGAGTGTATCGTAATATTTGCAGAATTATAAATATATAAAAATATTTTATCATATTTTTTTCAAAAAGTGTTTAATGTTCGCACCTATACCAGTCATATTATTTCATCCAGTAGCCTAGTTAATCTTTCACCAGATAACCGTTGAAAATGGCTTTTATGATGTTCCGAGGGATTCGGCGGCTCAGCCTGGTCTCAGCCTCTTGTGCGCATGAGAAAGTTACCGGTGCGCCAAGTAGGAAGAGGAGCGCACAGGAGACAACCGTTTAATTGCAGACTGTTATGTTTATGTGGGGAAATAGCAGTGCATACATTATTTGAGATATATTTCAAACTCGGACTTCATTTTAAGGACATGTCGGCCAGGGGTGTAGAGCTATATGTTTATTTTATTAGCTTTTCTTTTTAATGACTGATTTTAAATGCCATTTTCTTAATGTCTTTCATTTTTTTGTAAAGCACTTTGAATAGCCTTGTGTTGAAAAGTGCTATATAAATAAACTTGCCTTGCCTTGCCTTTGTTTAAGCACCGGATTGGCAAAACAGGAGAGTAAACCAGTCTGCCTTGATCTATGAATTCATGTCCGGGACTCTCACGGTATCTGCTGCCCGCAGCTGTTTTATAGAAGGAAAACCTCCTTCACTTCATGAAATGGCTGCAGGCAGCATCAGGAGGCAGCAGGACGTGTAACTCCGCTTCTGAGAAGTGCAGCACCAGCGCGCCGAGAGCTGTGCCTTTTTACGCACCGCCTTCGCTGTGTTTACCTTCATCAGAACAGCGAGTGACTGCAGGCTATTACGTGTTAACCACACACATCTCTACACAGTGGCGTAACTATCGACGGTGCAGCCGGTGCATTGCACCGGGGCCCACAGCCGTCCAGGGGCCCATGCAAAACAAACAAAAAATTATTAACAATAATTTTTTTTTCTTTTTTTTTTTCATATATATATTTTTTTTGGGCCCCAATGGCATTGACTGGTTCACGCAGTCTTCAAAGTAACCTAGCAACCTAAATACATTTTTAATTTGTCTGTCCAATGACCTTGCTCCCTTTCATGTCATGTGATACCTTGCGTGACGAGCGAACCGTTTAATCAACATAAAAAGTTATATGTACTACACAGCTATAGCAGCAGCAAGATCGGCAGAATTATAACAAATTGAATAGCTTGCATTTATAATGTACAGCAAACCAAAACACAAGAGCGGCGCTCAAAAGAGAAAGGACAAGAGAGAACAAGGAGATGTAAAGGCTAAACAGACAAAATTAGATTAATTAGTTTTTTTTGTCATACATCGTCCTCGAAATCGAACGCTAACGTTGGTAATGTTGACGTGCAGCGGCAGCCGGAGCCGGAGGCTAACGATAGCTCACCTGCCTCACCATCATCTAGCTCCACAAGTGAAGCTGTATCCGTGGCTGTGCGACCTTCTTCTCCAGCCATGAGCCAGGAGGAGAGGATGGATTTGGCTGTGCCCGCCGGTGGTCCTACAGTTCCCGCAAGGGCCCCGCCCCCAACCGATAGGGGACTCTATGGCGCTATTGAGACCCCCGACGCCAAGATCAAAGGCTATATTATAGCAACCGGTCCATGTAGGCCTATCGGCCCATTCCCCAGAGACACACATCAAGGAAACAGGTGTTTCTCCGAGATGTATTACACCACCACTACCAGAGCAGGTATCAAACTGCCACGGACATGGCTGTGTTACTCCCCCACCCTGGACTGTGCCTATTGTGAGCCGTGCTGGCTGTTCGCAGACCGAGGTGCACCGTTCTACAGTGATGCGTGGGTCAAAGGAGTTCGTGACTGGCAACATTTGTATGCGAGGATTGACTCACATGCACAATCTCAGGTCCATGTCGGAGCGTGTGTCATATATGAACAGTGGAAGAAAAACGGGAGAATCGATGCAAACATGGAGAGGAATGCAAGGAATGCTGCTAATTACTGGAGACAGGTACTTGAGCGTATTGTCAACATTATTACATTACATTACATTGCAATTTAGCTGACACTTTTATCCAAAGCGACTTACAATAAGTGCGTTCCACCAACAAAATACAACTTGAAGAAAACAGAATCATATAAGTACATCAGGCTTCATAGAGCAAAAACATTTCAAGTGCTACTCAACTGGCTTTAGATAAGCCAGCCCTTTATTAGTATATAAGTGCTTTGTTAATAGTTCTATCGCTCGAAGTGGAGTCGAAAGAGATGAGTTTTCAGTCTGCGCCGGAAGGTGTGTAAGCTATCTGCTGTCCTGATGTCAATGGGGAGCTCATTCCACCATTTTGGAGCCAGGATAGTATGGGGGTTATTCCCTATCTTTATTCAAGAGCGTGGTATTTAAATTTGAGAGCATACTTTATGTATTTATTTCCCTCAAACCCTGTCCTCGCACTCAAATAGTGCCTGCTTGCACTTAGATTTGCTCTGTTTGTGCTTAAACTGTACGCTTGCACTCAGATATATTGCTGCTTAAAGATTTTTTCTGCTCTCAGATTTATTCTGTGCGCGCTCGAAACTTTTGTGCAACAATCCTGTAAAAATCCCTCAACCAATAGGAGGCCTGGTGTCCTTGCTGGTGCGTTCGCTTTACTTATTACAGCGTCCCGTTGGGGGGGGGGGCCCAAAAAAATATTTGCACCGGGGCCAATCACAACCTTGTTACGCCACTGTCTCTACACACATCGAACTGCCCGATTACTCCCCCTTTTATTAGTTTTATGAAGGAGATGTCCAGTCACCAGGGTCGGCTCTAGAACAAATCGAATGGGGGGGGCAATCATTTACTAAGGGGGGGCACACACTGCCGTCAACAACCAACACACAAACACCAACGCAACTTCAATTTTAAAAAACATGCTGTAAAGTCTATTGTCTTTCACACACATTGCAGGGGTGTAGTGCTATTTTATAGCGCACCATGACTTGTGTGGGGGAAACTTCTGTGTAGCAATGCAGTGGGAGTCACCGACTCATGAAGGAGACACGGGAAGAGCAGGAGCTTTGATGTCAAACACTGATGGTTTATTTGGAGCTTCGGCCGGAGGATTCACATCACAAGTCACAGCAGCCACGATCTGACTGCATGGTAGAGTTGCCACGTCAATTCTGGAGCGCCTCTCTCTCATTAGCCCATTTAACTGGTTTCACAGAGAGTAATCAACATATTTGAGAAGATAGCCTAAACAGTTGGGAACACTGAGTGACTTGCGTCTGACACTTATGGCCTCGAAGATTTCACACCTTGGAGTCCACAAACACAGAGAAGGAAGTGTCCCAGTGTACCCACAACAATAAACCATCTGTGACCTAGGGTTGCCCGGTCATAGAATGGGAACAACAACATCATGGCTGAAGCAGCCTATCTCCTTAAAGGAGATAACAGACGTCAGGGTTGGTCATGCACGTCATATCTAGGAGTCTAGGACAATTATTTCCCTAACAACTTGTGCATACATGCACAGTTGTGGCACGACCACCAAAACAGAAACATATGGACATAGGCCACCATATAAAAAGTGTGCAAATGTATTTAGTATCCTATCCATGTGAACATGTTTTAGGTGGGGGTGGATCTAACCTGCTCTAGGAGGGTCTGGGGGCATGCTCCCCGGGAAGATTATTTTTAAAATATTAAAGTTAAATGCATCAATCTGGTGCACTTTGAGAGCAAAATGAAGAGATCTATGGATAGCCTACATATCTCAGCAGCACCCATATGAAACAGAACTGTAAACAGATTTACTTTTTCTTTATGGATATTTTACTAATCACTCCCCTTTAAACTGTATTCTTGTGTTAATGTCCTATAGTATTTCATACCCGTTTTTCATTTATTCTCTTATTTTTTTAATAACTATAATGATCATATAAAGGTGTTCCTCGCAAATACTTGTTTACATAAATGGTGACCAAAC